AAATTTAAAATTTAAAATTTAAAATTTAAAGTTTAAAATTTAAAATTTAAAATTTAAAATTTAAAATTTAAAATTTAAAATTTAAATTTAAAATTTAAATTTGAAATTTAAATTTAAAATTTAAATTTGAAATTTAAAATTAAAAATTTACATTTTAAAATTTAAAATTTCAAATTTCAAATTTCAAATTTAAAATTTAAAATTTGAAATTTAAATTTCAAATTTAAAGTTTAAGATTTCAAATTTATACTTTAAAATTTAAAATTAAAAATTTAATAATCAATATTTAAAATTTAAAATTGTGTAATATTTATAACTAGTCATTTATACGAGGGGTTTTTCATATTTAGTAATCTCTTTTCAAATATTCTCCCGTAATCCTTCTTTTATGGGTACTTTTCTGCAAATAGTTTTCTTGACCTTCAGCTATATTGGTATTGATTTGAGAGCTAAAAAGTATAATTTGGCATCTACCTTGTTAGTTGTTGTGTAGTACTCTAGAGGAGGGAAATAGAATTGATGTCTAGAATGAATATTTTTCATGTGTGTGAATAATAAAAAATAAAACGCAACAGGAGAGTAAAAAGTAAAGACGAAGAACAACATTGTAATGTATACTGATTCAACACTTCGTGACTAATCCAGTCTTCCGAGAGACTATCTCGTATGTCCTACTAACTTTCAAACTTCAATGGGTGCTTGAAAAACTTTTTACAACTTGAAAACTTGAATCCCACAAGACTCAACAATTTACAACAAGACTTGTGTCTCAAAAGTCTCATCAACTCACAAACTTAAAGATCAATCTTCAAGTTTGCAAGAACACAAGAGCAACACTAGATGAATAACTCACAAATTGAGTAACTAAGTGTCTAAAAATATAAGTTTTAATGGATGACAAAATATTTACACTAAGAAATATTTTCTATGCTCTCAAAATGTATTGATGTGAGAGCAAGATTGATAGAGCTAGAAATGTATCAAATTAATATTAATTTGGAGTGCTTTGGATACCTTTGAATGAAGGTAGATGAGGGTTTATATAAGGCAAAAGAATATATCCATTACACCAAAGGAAAGGACTTTAGTCTACAATGGACGAATAAAAAATCGATTTTTAAGATTGAGAAAATTGATTTTTAGGTACTGCAAGATCAGGTAGTGCGAAAGGAACGAATAGAAAATCAATATTCAAAAGGAGAAAATTTAATTTTAGGTGGGAAAATCATTTTTTGATGTGAATCTTTCAAAGACAAGATCTCAAAAAATAGTTACATGCAAATTATAGGTCCAACGACAACACATGAAGATAGTGTGAAGGTTGTGCAATATAACAGCAAAGAATGACATTGTGATGGTGGTGGCGGGAGAGGCAGTGTGGCGGAGAAGGGAGGTAGTGATGGCGGCAAGGGGAGGCAGTGCGATGATAATAGAAGGTAATGTGGTAACCCAAATTAATATAAATCTTAAAATTAATAAAAAATAATAGAATGAATTGAACATATTATACTGGATATTTTTATCCAGAGCAATGCTAGGGGTACACCAAAAGTGTATCCCAAATGTACACCATCCTCTTCTCGACAATCCATTTTTATTTTTTTTTATTTTCTTGCCTAATTATGTGGACAAGGAGTGGGTGGGGGGACAAATGGGGTATACCCAGCATTTTTCTTTCTATCCATGCCAAAAACACTAATGACGGTCAACGGCGGAAACCATACGGAGAGACCAAATAAAAAAGGCAATGGCTTTTTGACAACGACAAAGCAAGATATGGAAGTCTCTCCCCGTAAATACTCCGCTGCTGCCATGGCCGACAAGGAACCTTCTACTCTTCTTCCCATTCTTTTGCTTTTTTTTTTCTAATAAATACTCAAACTATTCTTTCCTCCCAGTAAAAAGGAGAGTAAAAAAACTATAAACACAGTTTAAATTTGAAAAAATTGCACCAAATAGCACATTAAATTTATCTTAAAAAAAGTATTCCCTCCTTCCAAAAAGATTGTCAGGTTTTTTATTTGGTCTTTCGAAATTTTTGTTTGTTTACTCATTTTTGGTGATCATTTGATAAAATAAAATATTCTTGAGGCATCTTGTTTGGTAGAACTTTATATATATATATATATATATATATATATATATATATATATATATATATATATACACATACATACTTTTGAACAATGTAATTTATAATTTTTATTTCTCTACCAATTTGTAAATAAAATAATTTAAACGTAAATAATATTTTCACGTTGTTCAAAATGTGGTGAAATTTAAGAACGGGGGGAGTATCCTGTGAGTCGAATATTACGGACTATTTCTAAAATGAAAAAAATATTACGGGCATGTTTGAGAATAACATTAGAGATTAGCGTTAGCATTTTGGATAAAATTTTAATGGTGCAAATTACTTTGAAAAGGATAACGCTAAACGCTGCTCGTAGATAACTTTTTTAAAACGTTGACTTCAATCACTAACATTATTCCCAAACATGCCCCATAATATATATATATATATATATATATATATATATATATATATATATATATATATATATATATATATATATATATATATATATATATATATATATATATATATATATATATATATATATATATATATATATATATATATATATGTATGTATGTATGTATGGGCCGGTTCCTGTGAGAATGCACCTTGTGGAGAGAAATGAGAATGAAAACTAGCTGTTGGATCTGATGCATCGTGCGGCTCAGATTGCATCCTGCGCTTAGATTTTGAGATAGTGCATTTTCAAAGGATTATGATGCATTTTGACGTGATGCATTTTCAAACCATTTTGTTGCACCTAATTTTGATGCAATCCTGATCCTTAGATGGCACAATCTAAAGCACCAGATTCATTCTCATTTTTCTCTTAAGATTGCATTCTCACCAGAATATATATATATATATATATATATATATATATATATATATATATATATATATATATGGTTGAGATTTTCGATATAGGACATTACATCGTATCGTTACCAAATACCAAACCTAAATTCAGTTCCGTACAATTTAGTATCTTAGGATTCTTAGCGGTCTTTTTCGATTTGTTTTTTTCTAGTTTTTTTTGGAAATTTTTGATATCAATTTGATACTTAGAACTTGTTCTTTTGGACTAGAAAAAGAGTTGAATGTTGGAAGGAACAAGAATGAATTGGAAAAAAAAAACTAGAAGAAACTGGAAAGAATTGAAAAAAATTCAAAAATTTCTATTATGGAGTATTTCATTTTAATTATCATTCGAAAAAAGCCGTTGCAAGCCCGAAACCCATAAATTAAAGCCCTACCTCGTTCCGTCATCGTGCCGCGCTCGCCTCGCTACTCCGGCGTCTCCTTCTGCGTTTTATTTTCTTCGATCGTATCTGCCCTCTTCTGCGTTTTATTTTCTTCGAAAAGCTATTATACTCTGTACTCTATAATTAGGTTTGCGATTCTGCCTTTTTTTGTTTGTTCAATGCGTCATGGAGTAATTACTTTATTTCTAATTTAATGTTGTTTTGTTTCAATTAGACTCTACTGAATCCAGAAAAAAAACATTGTATTCGTAATCTACTTTTTTTGGCAACTAGTATTTTTTGTCTCATTGCTTAATATTTCTTGAAAACGTTTTAAGATTAATTTATTTCCTCCAGTCCCTCCACTCCAAGTCGGTAATGTTGTGATTTTAATATATCTGTGTTATCCTGCTTTTCAATTCTTTTTTCTTGCAGTCAGTATTTTGTTCTATATTTCATGTTAACTTTGAAATTTGGAAGTGCATATTCATTTTTTTTTCATATTTTATTTTCGTATTCTGTTTTTCATATTATGGTGTGTTTCTATTATTTTTTAGGATTCTCGAGACTTTATTGTTACCTAAATTTATTTTAACATTTAAACTTGATCAACTACAACATATAATGTGATATACTTATATTAGTGTTACTAATGTATAGCAATTCTCATGTACTACTTGTCGCCTAGGTGTCATGGCGGCACACTGGAGCCATGCCTCGCTTTGGCTCCGTGATAACTATGTTCACAAGTGCTATTCATTGAAGCTGTGCTTTTAGAGACTTTTAGTGACTAGATCATACTTAACAATGAATTCACATGTTTTGCTTTAATTTTTATTTGATTGCATTTATCTATTTTAAAAGATACACTTTTTATTTTAATTATTTATTTGAGTATTTGAAATAGTCTTTTTATCAATAGATTTAGGATTTCAAGATTTAACTCTATGAATGCTTATTGGTAGGTGAATTATAGAACTTCATAGTATAGAGAATTAGAGACAATAGTTCATAGTTTTACATACTATGCCATGACAACCACAATTGCGTTCCTCTTTGGATGCATGTTAGATATTGAATGCCACTCTTCCGTCTAATATAATGGACCTGTTCTCCACATCACTTTCTGACTTGAATATGGAATCTAGAATCCAGTGTGTTTTGATTCAGGCTTCTACAAAAGGCCCATTAGCCCATTACATGATTGCACTTTTTCTTGGCCATTTTCTATTTAAATTCTGTTTTTATGCTGATTCTGACATGGGTAATTTACAATGCCCTGGGTACACCCATCCAGGTCACCCTCCCCAGAACCAATTCATGGCATTCTAATGGGTAGTTGTCATTCAGATGATTAGGAATGAATTTTTTTAGTCTGTGCCCATTTGCCTGGATAATGAAAAATGGTAATCTAGGAAAACAAACAAATCATTCCTCCAATAATTTGTCATCTCAATTCGCTTTTAAATGTACTTTCAGAATCACTGGTCTGGAGCTAGTGAATTCCCCATTTGCGAGAAACGTTGCCGAATAAAAACCTGTGGTTATGGCTTCAGCACCATCAAAGCTATACACAGGTTTTCTTATATATTCTTGTCTTTTGTCTTGCACATAAATTGCAAGTAGACAAAAAGCTTGTGTGAGATGTTCATGCAGCTCAATCAGCGGGACCTATCATTTTTTGAGCTCAAAAATGAAAACCAGTACCTTTGGGCCAAAAGTATTGGCACCTGAAAGTAGACTACTTTGAGAGTGTGTTGAAAAGTAATTCTCTGTAATTTTTAGACCGAACACATTGGCTCTAAATAGGAAAGTGATAGGTCTCACGAGAGCGAGCTCCATGTGGCCTTCTCTCACACAACTGTTGCTGTACTACTCCTTAATGCGTTCATGTATAGGGATATTAATATCCACATGTCTTCCTTGTAATGGTTTCTTGACATTTCTTGAAAATTATCAGATGATGTAAGCTTATTGATGGTGACGATTGATACCAATCCATTCTTCTGGAGCTCGATGAAGAATAGTGATTCTTTTAATTTTTCTATGTTCTTATCTCATGTAAGTATGTAACCCTATAGCGTAGGATCCATTCTTTCATTTTTTTTGTAAAATATGTTGACACACATAAGTAATTTTTTAATTTCATTATTTTACATTTGGGGAATATTTTGTAGGTTATCTCGTTTTTGAATTCAATACTATTACTGAACCAACTGAATCAAGTAGTTGTTATAGCAACTGGGTACAACTCGTGTGAATATGTATTTGATTCCTCTGAACCCTCAAATCAGAGGGCAGAACGCATGTTGGAGACATTACAAGAGTTTCTGGACAAGGACGAGTCATTGAGCCAGGAATACTCAGTTGATGGGGTTGGCTCTTCACTTCTCTCTGGATCACTTTCAATGGCTCTGTGCTGTATCCCACAATTGAGTTCAACCAACTTTTAAACATTATACTCTGTGTGTGTGTGTGCACACACACACACACCCACTTTTAGAATCCAAGCTTGCCTGGTCTGAATATGTTTGTTTGAAATTATTGGACTTGACCATTGTGGTTGTCTAGATATACAAAGGGTGTTTCGGTCTGGGCCACTCCATCCGCATCCTCGGGTGAGTTTTCATGTACTTCAAGAAATTTTGATTAAAATCTTATTTGTATGTTATATAGACCTCTCGTTCTTTATAGGTAGGGGTAAAATCTGTGTACATCCACTTCCTAGACCTCAATTACTAGGTTGTTGTTTGTAAGTTATGTATCCGAATTGATTTTCTTATAGTACATGGATCATTTAGGTATCAGGGTATGCTGCGGGTGTATCCATTATGAATGTCATTTCTTTCTTAGTATTTAGTCAAGTTTCTCCTCACAAACAACCCATAAACCAAACAAACAGCTAAACAAGCCCATATACTCCACTGCATAGTAGGGCATTTTGGGCGGGGGGGGGGGGGGGGGGNCCCCCCCCCCCCCCCCCCCCCCCACGTGCACACAGAATACACTAGCACACACATGACACTCAATGGACTCTGCAATCTTAATATGATGTCACCAGGAACTCATATTTCAGGTCATGTCCTCACAAATAACTCCCTCTAACCCAGAATATTTTTAAAAAATTTAAAGAGCTTTTTAGTTTATTGACGTGTTAGACCTTTTTTCTTGGGGTTTCTGAATTGCTAGTCTCAATGATGGCAGATACTGTGTCTCCATGGATCTCCAGATGGGCCAGGACAGTATGTGATTTGTTGTGTATTTTGCAGTTAACACTTGCGCTGCTCTACTTATTATGCTAAAGTGATCTTCTCTGCAGATATGTGGCCATCATGAACTCAATTTTCTCTGCTCAACGCTCAATGGTAAATTGATTCGCTTTATTTTTCTCCAAGCTAGAAGTTATGAATGAAGAGAATATGATATTATGTATGTTGTACTCTGCCCATCCCAATGTAAAATTCAGTTCATAGTATAATTTAGGCACGCTTATCAAAAAAAAACAGGTAAAATGGAGAGAGGGAGTGTTAAATATATCTCCATCCCAAGAAAGAGACATGTTTTGAAGTTTTTTTGTCCCAAATAAATCTCATTCCATCAAATGTTATTAAACTATGAAATAAGTTTATAACTATAGATCACACCAAACAAACTCAGTATATCCCACTCTAGACCCTAAAGTTTGGGAGGTCAAGATGTACAGAGACCTTATCTCTACCCTTAAGAGGCTGTTACTTTCAGCAACATGATATAAAAAAAATCCTTTTTTAGGTACCAATAGATTCATGTGCCATAGGGCCCCAACATTCTGCTTTCCTGCAGCAGGTATCTATATGTTTTACATTTATGTAACTTCATCTTCTTCTAGTATAATTTAGATGGAAGCCCTACCGTTTCGTAACAATAAATATGTGTATTGGTTAATAACAGGCTTCATACATAACCAGCGGAGTTTACCTGAAGCCTCAATTTTTGGATGGACTATTTCAATATCTTTCGGTAAAATTCTCTTCTTGAAATAGTAACGGTTATTTATGTTGATAGAGTGACCTCCTAGTTTGATTTTATCGCCTCACTTTAGTTAAATAAGGAGAGTTGATTCATTGAATGGGTTGTTGGCCTTATGGGGATCAACACCATGCCTCGCTTGACCTGCTGGTACCCCTGGGTGGTGCAGCCCCTTGTGTCCACTCAGCGCTCAGTATCAGGGTTTTGCGCTTGTGTAGTGCCGAGGGATTCTTCTAGAATCTCTCTTGGATTTTGCCCTACAAAGGTTTGCAGTTAATTGGTTAACGTTCACTTAGCACGAACTATGTTTAAGACAGATATGACAACCATTAGCCTCAAAATGCTGTTGCTAAATGTAATTGAGCTCGAGTAGTCCTAGGAGGGTTGACCTACTGGAACATTTGTAAAAATGACTATATCCAACATAAGTTTCCTTAGTATGTGCAATTTTGTAACGCAACAATTATTTTTGAAAAGTCTGATAATCAGTGTTTTGCAGACAGTGTTTGCAACTGATTTGCATTCTCGTGCCTTCTTACATCTTCCCAGGCCTGTGGGGGTCGATTTTCGTGCTTCGTAAGTTTATCATATCATTTCGGTATCATTTTTTGTACATAAAATGTCATGAAGGCTCTTGGTCATATGATGGTTTATATTGTATACGATGATGCTTATATTTAAATGTTAAGCAACCTGATACTTTGATAGTTTTAGCATTAAGCTTGGCTGTGATTAAGCTGAAAGATGATATTCTATATTTCTCAAACAATAAGAGGTAGTGTAGCACCTTATAAGGCTCAAGCAACTCTATGAATATGAACTAAGTAGGACTAACACAAACAGTCTTCAAATGACAAGCCCACTTAATACTAACTAGCACTCCCTCCATCCCATAAAAACATCTCACTTTCCTTTTTCATCCGTCCAAAAAAAAACTTCACTTTCCTTTTAAAGACATGAATTTGTGGCAAAAAAAATTCTATCCTCTTAATTAACCAATTGTAATCACACCTTTTTTACTTTTCAGCAATTTTCTTAAACTCCCTTGAAAGTCAACAGGAGTATTAGGACAATTGGACAAACAGTCATAAACATACTCGGATTAAGTAATACCAAATTAACTAGGGATAGGACAACAATCATAAATCAATTAGGATTTACTGATACAATGATTTGGGCCTACGCCTTTGTAACCAATAAC